AAGTGTCCCAAAACTCCCCGAATTCCATAACCAATCACTCCGGCAAATTTCAAAAGCAGATATTAGGGGATCGGGGCTCTAATTCTCAAAACGACCAGCCGGGTCGTTACAATAATGGGCTATTAATGAAAAACCATGAAAGCCGACCTACTGGTTCTTGTCCATTCCCTGAAGTGAATGAGACGAACTTCCACCAAGCTAAGCGTGGAAGAGGACGTGGCCCTAGTCGTGGTCATGGTCGTGGTCAGGGAAGAAACACTAATCATGGTAATAATAATACACCAAAGAACCCTCCTCACCACCGGCAGTAAAAAAGGAAGGAACAAAAGCATGAAGCGGTGCAAGCAGCAAACGCTGAAAATGCATGCTATAGATGTGGAGGAAAAGGGTACTGGTCACGTACATGTCGTACGCCAAAGTACCTGGTTGAGTTGTATCAAGCCTCTCTAAAGAAGACAGAGAAAAATATTGAAGCAAATTTTATTTCTGAAGATAATTTAGACTTCATGCATTTGGATGTACCTGATTACTTTGTACTCCTGGAAGGAGAAACAAGTCATGTGATCGGTGATGAATTTGTAGAAATATAAATATTTAAATTTTTGTTGTTTATAGTAGATAGTATGATTATATAATTGTTGTACATAAATAAAAGTTATGCTTTGATAATGATGTTTACTGTCATATTTATTTTATTTATGTCATTTTGAAGAAATTTTCTCTCATTATACCAGAAGTGTCTGAGAGATATTTGGTAGTACAAAATTTATCAAAAGCTCCTGTGGAGCTAACTGTTTGTCTAGAAGACACATGACACAAGTAGTGCCTGAATAATATTTGATTGTGGACAATAAACTGAAGGCTCCCGAAGAGCTTACATGTAAATTTGTCATTCATATTATATGATTGTGGTCAAAACATATGTTATAATAAACCAGAAGTTTACTGATACGAATGGCCATCATACTGAGACTACAAATAATCGGAAGATTGAAAATCTTCATGTTTCCACAATTATTGAGGTAAAATAATATGTATGTGAGAAGTTACCCGCCTTATTATTTAATTTGTACTATATCATGTATCACAGTAAACCAGAAGTTTATTAATGCAAAAGCAGTCACAGTAAATCAACAAGTTTTACTGAGGCAAATGTAGCTACAGTAATCAGAAATTTGCTGATACAAAAGTAGCCACAGTAAATCAGAAGTTTACTAATGTAAAATTTTATGCCATAGTAAACTAGAAGCTTACTAAGAGATAGCACATGCCATGATAAACTTGAAGTTTTCATTTGCCATTTTTAAATGAGTTATTTGAGAATTCAGATAAGCATATACTGAAGAACTAGAAGATTCTTCAAGAATTCTCTTGTGTTACTTATTCTCATCATAAATTGATTACACCAGCTAAAGTTGGGACTAAGACCCCTGAATTCTGAAATATATAAAAGGTGAATATGGGCACATTCACCTATCATGTAAACCACTTATAAATGCATATATGAGATGGTTACATGTGTGTTTATTGTCAACCTGCAGTTTGTCATTTCAAATTGCTTTTCTCAATTAAGAGCATAATTTTCAGATTATGCAATCAAGATAGTTCATCTTGATGATGTTGGTTTATATCCAAGCTAGTTTAGCATTGAATACCTTCTATTAATGATTAAATTATTTCTTATGAGAACAAAACCTCATGTGTTGGTCAAAAATTTTCTAAATTGCATACAACAGCACTTGCATGCATCAGACCAACAACATATGATAAGTCTTCCCCTTACAATTGGTTTAGGATCAGAAACCAAATATTTTACTATCTAATAACTTTTGATGTGTGGTATATGATTAATTTCTCTACCACAATGCACAAAGATAGGTTTTCCAAAGAAGATTGGAGATATGTGTTAGTTTTTCTAACATTTGGGGGATGGAATAAACAGCTGAAAAATATGCTATATAAATCGAATTATCATTAATAAGATCCTCACTTAGAACATAATTCAAGTCAAATGCCAGAAGCATTTGCTGATCCAAAATTAAATATCATATTTCAGCTGCAAATGCTCCTATTAAAATTAAAGTCCATGAAGGATAAAGTTTATTGCACGCATGAAGCGTAGTAAACCAATCGGTTCCAAAGGTAACAATCCTTGAAAAGGATAGGAGCAAATGATCATAATGAGGAGGAAATGAGCTCTAGAAGAGCCCACGAGATAACATTTTATGAAACTCCAGAAGAAGTTCAGGAACCTGAAAATAAAGAATGTGACAAGATCTCAATAAGTTATGTAACTTGCGAACCGATACAAAATGATCGTCGATGATATATTTGATACAATATAGTGCATAATATTATAAAAGATTGTGAGGATCAGACCTATAGTCCAGACACCTGAAGATGTCATGCCATTTATATACAAGTCATAACCTATATGACTCATTTGATCAAATTTACATAAAGATCCCTGAAGGATTTAAAATGCTTGAAGCATATAATTCAAAGTCTCGAGAATGTACTCAATCAGATTACAAAAATCATTGTATGATTTAAAACAATCAGGGCACATGTGATATAATCGCCTCACTGAATTAATGAATGAAGGCTATATAAATGATGGCATTTGTCCGTGTGTCTTTACAAAGAGAACATCATCAGAGTTTGTTATACTTGCTGTTTATGTTAATGACATAAATCTCATCGGAACTCCAGAAGAGCTCCAAAAGGGAAAAACTTTGTCTTAGTCTGCAAATTGAATATTTAGTAGACGGGATCTTTACCCATCAATCTGTCTATACAGAAAAGGTCTTAAAACATTTTTACATGGACAAAGCGTACCCATTAAGTACACCAAATGGGTGTTCGATCACTTGAAGTGAATAAGGATCCGTTCTAACCTCCAAAAGAGGATGAGGAACTCCTTAGTCCTGAAATACTCTATCTTAGTGCAAGTGGTGTACTTATGTATCTTGCTAATGCTAACAAAGATAGTGCAAATCATATTGGTTATGTAGATGCATGTTATTTATCCGATCCCCATAAAGCTTGATCTCAAATCGGATATGTGTTTACATGTGGAAGTACTGTCATATCATGGTACTTCACAAAACAATCTATTGCTGCTACTTCTTCAAATCATTTCGAGATAATAGTTATCCATGAAGCAAGTAGGGAATGTGTATGGTTGAGATCAGTGATTCATTTTATTCAAGAAAAATGTGATTTGGAATGTGATAAAAGATCCACAATTTTATACGAAGATAATGTTGCATGCATAGCCCAATTAAAGGGAGAATTTATAAAAGGAGATAGAACGAAGTACGTTTCACCAAAATTATTCTACACACATGATCTTCAGAAAAATGGTGACATTGATGTACAACAAATCCATTCAAGTGACAATCCGGCAGATTTATTCACTAAATCTTTGCCAACTTCAACTTTTGAGAAGATGGTATACATGATTGGAATGCGAAGACTCAAATATTTGAAACAAGGTTTTTATCAGGGGGAGTAAAATATGCGCTATACTCTTTTTCCTTTACTAAAGTTTTTCTCACAGGATTTTTCTTATAAGGTTTTTAATGAGACAACTAGTTATGCATATTACTAAATATGTGTACTCTTTTTCCTTCACTGAGATTTTTTTCCCACGAGGTTTTTCATAGTAAGGTTTTAATGAGGCACATTATCGTTTAATGAACATCTAAGGAGGAGTGTTATGAATATATTATATTATGGATGTTTATTTAGTACTCCATTGTAAATAAGCTTCCTGAAGAAGCTTATCCTTTCGGTACCCCGTTATGGATAAACATTACCCCGGTAGAAGATTATCTATATCTGGTACAATGAGCTTATCCTTTCGGTACTCCGTTATAGATAAACATTAACCCCGGTAGAAGATTATCTATATCTGGTACAGTAGCAGCTTACACAGCAGCTTGCTTTCTTCTATAAATAGAGGAGATTTCAGTTCATTATGTACATAAATTTGAAATTTGAATAATATATCAGTTTCTCTCTATACTTGTCTTTACTTTACAGTCTTTATTTTATAACATCAGAAAATTTATTATATTTGTATAAGTATGTCGGTAAAGGAACAGAAATTGCATATTTCGATTGGTTGAAGGTCAAATATTTTTAATTAAACTTCATTGGATCAAAATTGAAATAAAAGGACTAAAAGACAGATCTTCCTCGAATTAAACACACGATAATATCGATCACGGTGTTTCACACTAATCATCTTTAGCTACCTTATTTTCAAGAATAAAAATTTCATTTTTATGAAGAATTAACCGTGAATATCTTTTGGTTGACCTGACAGTGTAAAATATTATCATTGTATAGAAGTTAAACTCATCGATATAGAGAGTATGATAATTAACAAAAAGTTTAATGTTAGTAATTAGTAGGCTTACGAGTGATGACCTTAGAGAATAAGAGAATCGAATATTAACTATTCAGACATCCGGCATAGTTAGCAATGCAACTAGGAGAGCCTAGTAATGGAATATGAACTATTTAGACATTCGGCATAAACGCATAGTTACCTATGACAACCTAGTTGTAAACGAGATAGGATTTTAATTTAAGTCATATATAGCAACAATATAAAAAAAAATGTTCACATTGTCCTCATAGTTTATCCTATAAGAACAAGTTAATTATTATTGACCAGATCACGAATTACTGTTTATTATAGTGATTACAATACCTGATTGTATATTTTTTACAAAATCAGTGAATAAAAATTAACTAACTCAACCCAATATACTCCTCTAGCAAGTAATTCAATCCGTGCATAGTGATAATTAATTGTCATTCAACCCCAAAAACCAGGACATCCAGCAGCTAACAATAGGATTGCAGGAACAAGCAATCTCATCTCAACATGCTGCTCTTAAAAGCAGCTTACATAGAAAGAACAAGCAGTTCAAGAATCATATAAAACAAACCTCAAGTGGAGAGAAAATTAGTTATGACTTGTAAACTGGATGACAAAGTTCAAAAGGTATTATACACTTTGCAAACACATATTAACACAGGAACTTACAGAACAAGTGCTTCTATCTAAACAACTACTGTTAGAGAAGCTGCATATTTTCTTGGTACATTAGAAAATACTAACAGAAATACTAAAATCTCTCATAAGCTACATTGTTTAAGTCTGCCAAGAGGAAAAACTCCGTATCCTAGATCGCCCCTTCCCAGACTAGCAGATCTTGACATTTGCTTGTCAGAAAGTATGCACATTTGTTTGCCTTTCTCCAAATGTGTACAACATTTGCCTTGTTGGCTTCAAGCAAGAATTTGCAATCTTTAATAATAACCCTAAGAGGGTGATACAGCAAGTAGGCAATCCGTTACCACTTATAATTCTTTATATCCCATTTCTTTGGCTAATTTAGCCCCTGCTTGATGCTCCATAATTATGTAGTAAAGCTAGAAAAGCTGCATATTCCACTACAAAAATCCTAATTCATTAATAAGGCCGTAAATAGAAAACATCAATTCATAACATTATGAAGCAACAGAAGAACAACAACAATTGCCGCATACAATCTGCATGAAATCATTCACACGCTGGTTTTGTGTCGAAGCTGCTCAAGCAGATTGCAAAGGCTTGAAAGGCAGAAAGTGGGTAGCGGTAATCCATGGTGAATATATCTTTTCCGATTTTTCCAAACTGTAAAATTACTTTTTCTTGTTCCTCAGCAGGTACATTGTGAGAAGGATCTACCGATGCCACTAGCTGGAAGTTTTTTACAGAAGCCACTGTAACACGACCTTTAAAATTTAGGCACCAGCACTGCAATTGTTCATGCCATCTAGGGGCCTTGTTTTTTAGCACAAGTGACTCTCCGAGAGGCATCGACGCAGTTGAACTTGAAATACCAGCCGAGCTGACATCTTTAGCTAGCTCCTTTGCATCTGAAACTGATGGAGGAGATGACTTCTCACCAAAAGGCTGTGGAAATGATGTTGGTGTTGGAGCAGTGCCTCCTTCTTGGATAGAAGAGAAAGGAATAGAATGCATAGCGCAATGCATTCTCCTAGGTCCTCTTGTACGGAGAACATTGAGTTCATAGGAGATGGTGGCGATACTGTAGTTGCAAGCAGGTACTGTTGGAGATACCTGCTTTGCACGGAATCTCCGACTATGTCGACAATGTTCTTGAATAGATGCATCAGTTGGGGGTTTGCTATCATATATGGTGAACTTGGTCCCAAGAAAGTTAGACCTGTTCAAATTGTTTTGGACACTATTATTAACAAAATGAAAGGACAACAACTTCGACAAGTACTTTGGAAAGGTGGTTAGGCACAAGCGATGAGAAGACAGTTAGGAGTTTGATAGAACTTGCCTCAATTTCCCAAGGTATGTATTGCTCGCTCGAGAAAAATCATCTGCAACCAATGAAATTACAAAATCTGTGCTTGTTGCCCTCCTGATCCTTCTGGCAGCCAGCAATAGCTTATCACTCTCGTCCTCAGCTGTCATGAAATAAATTTCAGATGTGTAACTTGTACAAATATTATCCAACGAAAAATTATAGACCAGTGTCACAAAGGACCCAGCAACCTAGGTGTAAGTAATTCATAAAAACTAGCATTTTGGAGGTTTACAAGATGAAAATCTATTTATCGATCAAATATACAAGTTATATCTTCAAGCTGGCAACAAGGGACACAATCATTGAAGAGGATATCAATTTCATTATGCAGTGTCAAAAGGAAAAGAAGAACAGGAATACGACTTACATGGAGTCAAGCCAAAGTAGAGGCGATAAACTGAGTTATCTCTGTCCCGTTTGATAAAGCAATGGATTGGGGATTCACGGGGACCAGGCTGGTTCAAAGCAGAACAGAAACGAAAGAGATACTTTCTTAATTTTATTTGACATTGACAATAGGAACAAGATGCTAATTGAACAGAGTAAGAATAAATTACCTGCTTCAGCGAAATGGGAAAGGTAAGTTTACCACATTCCTCAGGAGTCCTGACAATCTCTTTTGTAACTCCCCTCCATGACTTGCAAACAGATGCACAAAAGACAACCACAGTTCGAGCAGGCCAAGTTGTCTCACTCTCTTCAACCCTACGGATTATATCCAGAAGTAGCTCTGGTGGTAAATTTGCCCATTGCCCTTGTTCAATTTGATCAAAAGGGGCCACATCGGGGGCTATATGCGACCGGGTTCTGTTGCGCCAGTGCCTTCCTTCCACTCCCCTCCTCGATATATTCCCTATCCCATCTTTCATCTCCCGCAGCTCACGGACAATGCTCTTGAAGGACATTTCTTTTGATCACATCAACTAATCTCTCCTTCAGTGGCGTGGCAAAAGGATTTAGTACAACAAAGCAGCGGAGTTGCTGTATATAACCATCAACTAAATACTCTTTTGATATGATAAACCTCGCCTCCCCAAACCCCTTACCCAGAACCTAAAAGTAACCTTTCCCACTTTGCTCCCTTGGTGCTCGGAACACAACCATAATCCTAACAACTAGGCTATCATTCCCTTATCTATCTCGAGCTAATAATTATGCAAAAGAATAGCACCCAAGGGAGTGGCCTAGTGGTCAATGAAGTGGGTGAAAACTAGAGTTCAAATCTTAGCAGTGGCCAGAATTACTCAGCACATGTGCTGGTGGAGGTAGCAGAACCCGGTATAGCCAAAGTGGCGCGCAAGTTTTATAAGAAAAAGTGCAAAAGAATAAAAAAAATCCCCTTTTTAGCTACATATAACATATCTTCAGCTAGCAGATCTTACAATGTGGTTTAACCTCTATGTTTAATTAAAAGAGATTATCTCAATGTTTTTAATGAAGAATTAAACCCAATTTTTTCTCCATCTTTGCCCCTGCTCGTTAGGGTAGGGGTTGTGGAAAATGAAACAGTTACACGCACAAAAATCAAAACATTATAATATTTCCACCATTTTTTGCTTAATCCACGAATAAAAATCAAAACTTTATGAATCAAGTAACCCCAGTTCGACAATTGTGACAACAATCCTAATTCAAATCCAGAAAAAAAAAATGCCAGTTTCCTTAACAATAAACAATGAATTAAAAAAAGAAGCCCAAAAATACAAAAAAAGTGGGATCCCCAGAAGATAAATCTGACGAAAAACAGAGCGCAACGAGGAGACAAAAAGGAACAATTTTTAGAGCTGGCAAAGCAATAATAAGGAAAAGGAGCAAAACCTGAGTAATTGGTGCAAAGAAGAAGAAATCAGATCATTATTTCTCTGGATCAGCTATGCATTATTTTGTGGCATTCCCACATCGCCGGAACCACCACCAAAACCGCCGTTTGCTCCGCCACCAAAAGTGTCACAAGCAGTCCTCAAATGTGATAGATACAGTTTAACGAGATATGCGTATTATCAGCAGCGTATGTTCAACTTTCAAGGTACGTACCCCCACCCACCAAATATTTTCGATTTTTGAGGGAGTTAAGGTACTTCACTTTAATCCACACAATTATACTACTCTATTTTTGTTCTTGCTGCTTCTGCCTTCTAGGAATGAGAAAAAGGTTAATTTATTTTTTTGTAATAGGGAAATTATTGGCTACGATTAGCTGTGGTACCAAAAAGTATGCGTTACGCGTGGTCTTGGCTAAACCAAGAAAATGGATATCACTAGTCAATGGTCAAGCTCATTGAAAAATCAATATATTTACTCCAAATGTCCAAATATATCAATGTACTTTTGAAAATGGTTTAATAATACCTCTCGTTATACTATTGGATTATTTATACCCCTGCATTCATACTTTGGGTTCAAATATACCCCTCATTTAAACGGAGGGACACATGTTATCGTCCTGTTAACCAATTCTAAATATCTCCTAATTAATTAAAAAGATCAATTACCTATACCCGAAAATCAATTTTCTAAAGCAATTTTTTTTGTAAAATCTGGAAAAACTGAATTTGTTTTTACTAAAAACTGAAAAAATGAAAATATTTTTTTTCCAGTTTTTTACAAAAATATTGCTTTAAAAAAATAAAAAATATTTTCTAAAACAATATTTTTGTAAAAACTGAAAAAGAAAAATTGAAAAGCAATTTTCTAAAGCAATGTTTTTATAAAAAATGGAAAAAACTGAATGTTTTTTTTTATTAAAAATTGAAAATATGTTTTCCAGTTTTTAGAAAAATACTGCTTTAAAAAAAACTAAAAAATAATTTCTAAAGCAATTGTTTTTGTAAAAACTAAAAACAAAAGCTGAAAAGCAATTCTCTAAAGCAATGTTTTTGTAAAAACTGAAAAAACAAATTTTTTTTTTCCAGTTTTTAGTTTTAAAAAATTATTTTTTCCAGTTTTTAATTGCTTTAGAAAATTGCTTTTCAGTTTTGTTTCAATTTTTACAAAAATATTATTTTAGAAAATATTTTTCAGTTTTTTTATAGCAGTTTTTTTGCAAAAACTGAAAAAAAAAATCGTTTTTTTTCAGTTTTTAGTAAAAAGAAATCAGTTTTTTTTAGTTTTTACAAAAAAAAATTGCTTTAGAAAATTGATTTTCAGGTATGGGTAATGGGTCTTTTTAATTAATAAGGAAATATTTAGAATTGGCCAACATGACGATGAGACGTGTCCTTTCGTTTAAATGAGGGGTATATTTGAACCCAAAATATGACTGCAGGAGTATAGATAACCCAATAGTATAACGAGGGGTATTCTTAGACCATTTTTAAAAGTACATGGGTAAATTTGGACAATTGCCGATATATTTATGTTAAGCAAATGAAGACATATATATTTCTTGCATATGAATTTTAACTTATTACAAAGTAAATGAATATGTATTCACATTTTGATTTGTGATTTTTATAATTAAATTATCTAATTTTACGTAAACAATAAGTATAGATAAATATCTTTTTTGAATTTAGTGGCCCCTTAATTTTATCTCTATTTTCATCTTCGTATATGATATTCATGTGTCTCAATGAGTAGCCAGAAATTAAAACACTATAATTATGGGAATTTGAATTTCAGTGCTTCCTAATAAATTATACTAAGTGAGGGACAATTTATGTCTCAATATAAATTTACCCTTTTCTTTTGTAGACATCTTATGGAAGACTTTAAAAAGACTTGTAATGGGAGGAATAAAGGGACAAATATTGACTATCATAGGGGGAAAAGGTAAAAAGATTCTTAATAAGATTTTGTATTTGAAAAAGATCTTAATAATTATAGAGTATGTAAGCATATAACATGGCAACATCATGACCTGGTTTCAATAGCTTTATGCCTTTCTCATTATAATAATTGCTTAAAATTTATGATATTGTTTTCTTATTCATATCTATATGATCCCTTTCTCAAATTTGGAGAATTGATCAATTAAATTGCATCCTTTATGTTTGTTCAGGGATGATAAGTTTGAATGCGGTAATATGTCTTATCGACAATTCTTAGAATTGATAATTTTTGAGATTTTATATAAATATTATTTAAGGAGAGAGGATACAAAAACATTGTCTCAATTTTAAAAGAAATCCTAAAGATTGACTGAAGTATGATATTTAAACTGTTTTCACATAATTATTGTGGAAAACAGATTGGTACTTCTCCATCTCCTTTTCCATGTAGATAATACCTGTTTTTATGAATAATTAATTTCCATTTTTTGTGAAAAATAGTGAAATTGAACACACACATTAGAGACTTGTAAGGATTCCTCTGAAGGACTCTCTATACATTCATTAGAAGTTCATTTCTTTGAAAAGGATAATTACTACCTTAATTTAGTAAATTAAGCGGTTTTCAATGCACATAACTATAAAATATGTATTTTATTTGTTAAGGCATTTGATAAAACCCCTTTTTTATCAATTGTTTCTCCATATTTCTCATAGTGTCTATCAAAACAAAAATTATTTAATTGAGTCTAATTAGTTAGATTATTCAAAAGATAGATTATTGCACTCGATGCGTATATAAAAAGCAATAAAAGCATAGTATACGTCTTTTTATCAAATTTATCACTTTACAATAATCAATTAATAAACATTTTCCCCTCCATTGTTTATAGATTAAAAATAGCAACTTAATACGGATTTGATAGTAACTAAGAGTCCACCAAACTATATAGAGAATCAGGTTCTCTATCAGTTCCACAACAAATAGTAGTAAATAAATAACACACAATATCTACGTGGAAAACTCTCAGCTCACGAGATTAAAAATCACGACCTACCCTAGTACGATTTCAACTTCACTAACTTAGCAAACTTCAGATTACAACATATTGCAAGGAGTTAAACTCCTAATCTTTCACCTCTTACAATGACTCTATTGTAAGCTCTTTGCAATAACTCTATTACAAAGTCACACACTTGACTAACTCTAGTCAAACAACCAAAAGCAATAATAGTTTAAATGATGTCCTACTAAATGCTTCTAAAAAGTTGTGTAGGAATTACTAGTAAATAACAAAAGACAAAGATACAACAAACTAAAGGACACAAGACATATTCAATGCTAGGATCTGGTCATTTGTTTTGTAGCACCTTTGTTCTTCAATGCACCTGAGGGAATAGAGGCGGTTGCACACTTGAGAGAATATATGTTTTTGTATTTACAAGTGTTAGGTCAAAACCTTGTAACATGTTGTTTATTTATGTGAGATCATGAGAGTAGTTACAAAGGCATTTCCGGTTTCTAGCAAGTTGTGCTGCTGTACTGTTGCAAGTACAATGCAACAGCTTTAACAGTTGTAAAGTTGGTTTACGCGACGACGTGAAGACCTGATTTTATCTGTTCCCTTTGCAATTTCCTTATCTGTTTTCCTTGAGAATTAAACCAGACAACAAGGTATATTGTAATGAGCACAAGGGAACTGATTGTATCAGGTTCCTATCTAGTTTTTCTACGAAATTTGACAAATCATCAAAACTCAGTATAACTTATCAGGTTTGATGGATAAGGCAACTGACACTAACTTTGAAGGCGTAAAATCTATAATGTTTAGCGGCCGTACATATTAACATTGGAGTGCTTTAATTAGCTTTATAAATTACTCCTATTGTTTTACAGTAACACAGTGGAAGTTGAAGTTGATAACATAGCACTCTTGTTCACTCCAACTCTGCAAGAGGAATACCTTAAAAAAGAATATTAGTAAGTGAGATCTAAGGTTTCCCTAAGCAAATATAAGACCAAGAGTTCAGAGAGGAGAAAAGCAAGAAAATCTTAGAAGTCAATCCATCTTTTACATAACTTGTTATACACTGTAGGGTTGTTTGTTTTACCGTATAAACAAAAATAACCCCAACATATGGTAATTAGTTGTACAACAACATAATTACTTAATTCAACATTTCGTTGGCTTTATTAAAATCTGCATATCTGCAAAAGTTATGTGGGAGTCTGTTAGCAATATATTTGGATAAGGGTAAATAAAGATTAAAATAAAAAGCCTTTATAGCAAGCAACTTCCGCATAGGAATTATCCTACGTTATTATTCACCTTATAACAATTCTCACATTATTAAACAATCTCTGCATAACTATTAACTAGTACATGAAGTTTGACTCGGGTCAGAATATGATCCGTTAAATGATCCAAGATTCACTAAAAGTTTCTGATAATCTTAATTATCAAAATGCCTTGTGAATATTTTCATGCTCAAGTGCAAAGGTGACAAAGAAACAGCTAATATTTGCATAAAGTAAAACTGTAGAGTTGGACAAATATTCCTTATTTGTTCTCTTTAACATGCATCTCTGTGCAGTGAGACTACAAACTAGGCAAAATTACTTTGTTTCTTTGACTTAACGGTAAAGTTCATGCTCTGCTGGGATTTGGTTGGTCTTACATATCTCTCATCTCTTTTTTCTTCTTAGCTTAGAGTAGCTTGGCCTTTGATTTTAGCCTCTACAATGCCTTATAAAATGTCTCTTTCAGTAGTTTGCTTACAAGTTCTGCAGTATACTGCCCCCATTGAATTCCCTTTCTACCTAATCTCTGTTACAACCTCCTATGCCTTCAACAAACTGAAAATCACACATTGCCTTTGCCTTTTCTGCTATTTTCACTTATATAAACATGCCTTTCTCACTTACATCAATGCATTATCCATTCAAACAGTTGTCTTAGAGTTTCTAGCCAATGGCAAACCAAACAAGTTTCTTTCCACTTCTAGGCTTCATTGTCTTTGCATTTCTTTGTCTACCTGCTGAGGCTGCCATAAAGAAGTACCAATTCGATGTTAGTGTCTCCGATCAAACAACTTCTTTCCTTGATTGTCAGCTAAAATTTATCTCATGTTGAATTGTGTGACCATCTCAACTAAAAACTTAAGTTGTTAGAGCGAGCACGCTTTAGTTACTTAATAGTATTACACGCCCCTCCTCACGTGTGCGCTGATTCATTTTCATGAGTCAAACACAGTGATACTATGTTGAATTGTGTGATCATCACATCTAAAAGTTTATATGGTAGAGAGAGCATATTTTGGTAACTTAACTATATTACGTCTCAACGTCAGGCTTTATTCATAATGGACAACTTTCTATGTTTTGCAGATTCAAGTGGC